AAATAGCTCAACTTACAAATCACTGCACTCTACTGCAAGTAGAGCTAGGAGCTTATGCTGAAGGCACCTTAAAACCTTTAGCGCATACCATTTCTGGCACCAACAAAGTCGAGGAGACTCAAACCAATGGTATACCCCCCGATGTTGTGCCTCAAAGTGACGAGGGCTCACCAAAAGTGCGATTGACTGAGAAGAAAGTTAGAAGACCCTCAAAGCCAAGAGGAACGAAGGAATTAAAGACAGTGAGGGATGACAGAGTGCATTATGACGAAAATCGAGAAAGAAGGGTGTTTGACCAAGATGTTTGGGAGCAGCAGGCTATGCTTATGGTCAGCCTTTACTCGGAATTGATGCAGATTATGGAGGTAAGAATTTTTATTGATAAAGTCTTATTTTGGAATCTGATCCTGCTTCAGGAGCAAGAGGTAAAACAAAAGCAAATGGACGAAATGGAGAAAGTGCTCTTTAAAGGGCGACGAGCCATGGATGATTCAAAAGCACAGCTGCATGTTAGTAAGAGCTGTCTTCCCCAAATTATCGGATCAAATACTGTTTAGTCAGATTTAAGGGATTGTCTTGAGTTACACTTAGATCAAACTGAAGATTGTCCAAAAAAGAAAAACGCTATTATACGAGTGCTATTCACGGTACTGTCTTCCCAACCTTTCTGATCACCAAGTATGCATAAGGTTACTGTAGGCGCCTATTTGCATGTACAAGAGCAGTTTTAATACTACTGCTTGATAATTCAGCAGGAAAATGATTTATCATACATTTAAAATGCGAATTCCCTATTCCTACGATAAAGTGCGATAGAATTCATAATATGAGATCTCATAGTCTGAAAAGGACTAAACGGGCACTTTACAATGCAAATTTTCAGGGAAAAAGGAACAAGAGCAATTTCTAGAAATTAACGTTTTGTAGGCATTTCTTTAATGTCTCAATCATTGGAAGTTCCAATTAAAATTGAGAATTTGCATAAAAACCCAACTACTTTAGTTGGCTTTCGAAGAAATATATCAACTGAAGAAGAATGAAAACGAATCAGAAGATATGGAAAAAGAGGAGACCAGTACTGAACTTCTTGAGCTCCGGGTAAAAAGTTTTTCACACTTATGCACTTTTCTCGTCACTATCAGTGCTATTTCATAAATCGATTCTTAACTGATTATTTTCTTACAAGTTAAAATTGAAGTTTTCAGCGTTTTGCATCCACGATCAAAATGGGAGGATTGGAAGTGGAGAAGCGCGCTGAAGAAGTTACCAGAAAACTAATCACTGAGCAGATTGAACGAGTCCGGTTAGTCGATCGATATCCATTAACAATTGCTAGCATTTTTTCAAATAAATTTCAGTCTATCTCGAACGAATACGGTATTGCGTCGGCGATGCAATCGTGCTGAGCAGGCAATGCGACGCGCAAGAGAAAGAATGGTGTTGATAGAAACACAGGCTGGCAAAAGATGCGCTCAGCTACAGTATCAACTGGTAAATTGAGCTCATAAGTGTGATTTTAGCTATGGATTGCCGTTTTTAGGACACGGCACTAATCGACTTGGCCGATTGCCAGAACAAGTTGGTTCGATCGGTATCGATTGAAACCTATGAGAAACTGGCCATACGCTTCAAGAAGGAATGCGTTTCCGAGGTGTTGAGCGGTGAGATTGACGAAACCTGGAAGGAAAATCTTGTTTCGATTGAAGCGCCTGTCGATGCTAAGATTCAAGAACTTGAGGCGAAAAACGCTTACCTCAAGGTTACCTAAAAATTATTTTACGTATATTTTACCATACACTACCGATTATTCTAGAAAATTGTTGAAGTTATCAGTGAACAGAACGATTTCTGGTCTAAGGAAACAGAGATACTACAAAACGAGAACGAAGAACTTAAAAGATTTGTCGAAGACATGGAAAATGAGAGCGATTTGAAAAACATTCTTGGTATGTCTCTTATTGACCTGATGGGTTAATACCGAGTTACCCAAACAGGTGATCTAGCCAACCCCTCATTCTACTTCCTAGGTTCCATCGAACAACGTCTCCTGGAGACGATACGGGAACAACAAGAAGGGAGGCGTGACCATGAGAGAGCCTACAGAAAGGCAAGGGAAGCCGAAGAGAAGTTAGCGCTGTGGAGGAGCGAATGGTCTGCTCAGCGATCACGACTCGTCTATGCCATTCGGACATTGCAGTCCGCTTTATCC